CCTTATTTTCTGTGCATAGCCTCATTGCTTCCAACTGTAAACCTAGTGGAATGCACTTTCATACTCATAATACTTTGCATGTGATTTCCATGGCATGTGCACAAAGGCACTATCTTCATGCTATATACCTTTAGAAGAAACTTTCTTTCATGGACAAGACTGGCTGTTTTGCTTGATGTTCTCCACATGGTGATTCATTTGGTCTGTCACACTATTCAAAGATCTGCCATATACAAAAGAAATTTCTATCCTAAGATGTAATATGGATCTGAAAATCTTCAAAAAAGGCTTTTAAATAAAAGCATCAGGCTCAGAATTCTTCTGTAAGTGTGTATGCATTTTCACTGGCTTTCCCATCACTATACAAGACTTTCTAAGTAATGAAGGTTTCTCTTGGACTGTAATTCTTACTTCATTTTCTGACATAAGTCAATGGAAAGACTCCCATTGCTGATTTCATGGGCTTTGGACAAGCCCTTAATAAAGTCAGATTTTCATTTCCATCTGCAATAGTCATATACAGATGCTTTATATTGTGCTACATATACAAGTCTGTGGCTCTGATTTGCTGTCGTGGCTATTAAATTTATTGTAAGCTAGTTACTTTCATAATTTGTGAACAATGGATATGATTCAAATCCATAATGAATTATGGAAAAGTCCTATGTGAATTCAGCCCTATTAAATAATAAAGGTCTCTAGATATTGCTCTAAAAGGAATGTTAACATTTTTTAAATTTTGAACCATGCTGTACAAAGGGATAACACATTAATGTTTCTTTTAAATTGTTCAAGCAACTTTTGTTGCATTTTATAGGATTTTTATATAACGGATTTTAGACATGGCACCGATGAGCACTTGTTTCAGAAACCCCTCCGCTACAGAGGGCTAACCTATTTAGATTCTGATATGAAAAGAAGCAGAAATGAGATTCAGGAACTAAGCCCTGGTGAAATGCCTACCATCCCCTAGCCCCCTGATTGTCCCAGGAGACGAGCACAAGGGCTCCATCATTCCTATTACCTTGGGATATGTCTACATCACCTATGTGGCAAGCCTAGAAATACCGTGGAGAAGCAAGCCCAGCCAATTGCTCCTGCTCAGCATATGCCAAAGCCCAGAGATTAGACAGCGCAACTATTTTAGCTACACAAAGTGCACCCAAACCAGTGAGTGGTTCTGGCAGCATACACATGGCTATGGTAAACTAGTTATACTGCCTAATCTAGGGGTTTTGGCTCTGTTCTCCCATCTGACCTCTACTCAGAGGCTTTCAACCAGGCGTACCTTCCACTTAATACTGCACCTCAGAATGCATGCTTATTGTATAAGGATGAACCTGCCTCAGGCAAGTGACTGGACTAGTTAACCTCTGGAGGGTCCTTCAGCCCTACTTTTCTATGATATTCTATGATCACCTTACATATAAGGCAACACCTCTTTTCAGAGTGGAAGGGTTCTTCTCAACAGCACTCTTTAGAGTTCACTACAGTGTAGACAGTGTAGACGCTACAGAGACAGTGTAGACACCTTAGCTTGAACCTTCCCCCTGCTCCCAACACTGCCTCTGTCCTGCTGGAAAGGGAATTTCTACAACCATAACTGACAGAGCCTGAAACTGGTGTTCTCCTTTTTGAAAAGAAAGCTTCAGTTCATCACTAATGGATGGCTTTGAGCTTGCAGTCTTCTTGGAACATTTCTTACTTTCCCATGCATCAGACAGATTGATCATGTTCTCCAAGGTCATAAATAATAAACATTGGAATTTACAGCACACCCGTCTTAAGGTATTGATCCTCACTGGACCTTTACCAGTGATATCATAGGTAGGCATATGTCATCATAATTAATATATCTGACTATACACTAATACACTGGACCCAACTCTTATTCATTAGAAAAAATCAGGAGTAACTTCTGAGTGAAATCCACAGCCTTACAAAAGTGCAAAATAAGAATGAGACTCGCTGGTCTTTTTCTTAAAGCGGCTTCCATACACAACAAAAAGAAGTAGTTTAAAGATCTTTTCCAGCTGAGTCCTAAAAGTAATAGTTTTCATACAGAGGAGCACATTTTTGTAATTTCCTCAGCCCCTTTGATGCTTTACTAATCTGAAAAACAGAACTTGATTTGTGTTCATACATTTGTTAGGAATTATGAATGAAATTTAGTAAATCCTTCTGTGCTTTATAAAAACCAAAACAAGCCCCTTCTTTATAAAGCAGTGTGGTCTAGCAATGAATTAGTAAAATACCAAGTTTCACTTGGCATGTTCCCTTGATAGTAAAATACCAAAATTTTGGTATTCTGTTAGAAATAATCCTTTTAAATGTACAAATCATGGCGCTTTCTATCAGTATAAGCTGTAGGATTCTATTTTGGGACACTGCCTTTTGCTATTTATAAAAAGAGTAATAGTTTTAGTTTCAAATTCAAAAGTAAAAATAGCAATTCCTAGCTATGGAACCTGAAAAGAGAAAAGGTGCAGGTAACAGCCAAGGGACAGAGACAGCCTGGGGAAGTAGAGGACATCAAGACAGGAAGGAGAGAGAGGTCCGCAAAAGGAAGGCACTAGGAGAAGTTGAAGAATGGAAGAAAAGTGGGGGACAAGGAACAGAGAAAGATATGGATGGGTAGGAAAGGAAGTACAAAAATGTTCATGGGAGGGGAAACTGAAAAACTAAGCTAATTAATTGTTCAATAAAAAACTGCATGTCAAAATGTAAAAAATACATTCCCATATTTTGTGCATTATTTTTTTCTATGGAGAAGACTGACACATACTAGTGGGTGAGCTATGAACAACAGGCTTCAAAGTCCATATGTGATGTAACATACAAATGCATATTAAACATCACGGGATGTGGATACCATCTATTATAAATGGCTGTGTGGCAGCTGAATAGTATGTAGAGAATTTGAAAAACACTTTATGCAACATAATTTGCTTACAGTGATAACTTTTCTCAGTTCAGGCACATCACACCCATCTCAGACTGTGTTTGTGGGCATGCAAATGTGCATGTTTGTTTTGATGTGTCTAAAACTTATACAAATCAGGAAATTATACTAGTATCTTGAAGGATGAATGTTTTGCTGGCTTCCCCTAGAAACTGTTTGCCTCCCTCAGCTGACTACAGACCAGCAAAATCAATGAGCTTCCCATACCTACGCTTTCTTTAAGTATTCTTTTTTTTTCAGAAGTATAGGCACATCTTTTGATGTTTTGGACTGGCTGTGTGATCTTGGTTTATTTTTTCTGTCTCTTTCCCCCTCTTCCCTAGCGAGAACCAGCCACAGAACTATTTCAGTTACTCTATCCCAAGCCTAGTATGCTCGTGTCTTTTGTTGGTAGCTATATTAGAAAGGCGGTCATAAATTGCAGATTAAATAATTCAACCAGGGGAAAATTAAAGGAGCCCAAATTGTTCTGTAGTGCCCTTCCACATAAAGAAATGACACAGAGTGGCACATTTTTTGGAGCAGATTATTGGTAGGTGTAAATCTGAATAGCTTTTCTGAAATGCATTTACAACTGGTTTCTCTCATGCACAGCCAGGTGGTGCAGGCTCATAACTATAAAATGCTC